AGGGAAGACATTTTCAAACCAAAACTCTCATTCATTTATTTACTGCTCCAAAACAAATTTCTCAAAATTCTTTATTAGAATCCGTCGTAACACAACAATGAAACGGTCTAGGTCAGTATCACCTTAGCTACATGTTTCGGCTTTTAAAGCCATCATCAGGAAAATACTTGGTTACTACACTCACTGGTTACACATTACACTGTAAAATGAGGCACTGGTTAAACAATAAATACCAAATAATACTACACTAATACCACAGGTCTGAAGCGGTTAACTATACGTGTACATGCCATGAATATACCTCTTTATGTCCGCTGGAATATAACAAGATCGCAACAACTACTTCATAGTATGAAACATTACATGAAAAGTTCTTAACCATATTTTATTGTATAACTTCCGTTTTATAATAACTGTATCATTTTATTGTATTTTTATACCTTGTATTATTATAGTGTAACAGTTGTCAAGTATCAAGCTTGTGTCAAGTATCACACGGAAATGCAGTTCAATAGTGTGCGAGTGTAGCAACCATGTATTTGCCTGATGACGGCTTTAAAAGCCGAAACATGTACCTAAGGTGATATTGACCTAGACCGTTTCGTCGTTGTATTACGACGGATCCTAATAAATATTTATATGTAATAAACACAACGGGATGCACCCAATGAAAATTTCTCAAATTTAATACACAAATTTACAAGAGATACATCAGGGCCTCCATCTGTTGTGGTATAAGAAAACTACTTAAATTCTCGCCCTGCGCCGTTTAGCGGCCGTTGAAGTGGCAAACTGCAATCAAACTGACAGACGTGCCGTTGCCGTCAAAGTATGCCAGTGGTTCCGAATGGTATGCTGCAGCTGATCCATACAGTACAGGACGATATACTTACCAACAGGCAGAGTTCAGCTCTTATTGTGGGCACCTGAGAACGTCCGACAATGTGAATGTTTGTGGGTTACATAAGTGATGGCACAACCGGTTCCCGATGCCCCTGCGTGCTACACTATAATTAGATGAAATCATTGCGTTGTCATGCGCATGTTATCATGCCCACTCGTACACAAAGTCACGAATATACAAGCGTAACAATCCTGAGCTCTTTGTGCTGTTGCCATTTCTTCTGACGTTCGAAGGCAGATTTATGTACAGTCCGTAACAGAAGCAAGAGTTATTTTTTCTTCTTCTTACTTTGACAGATTAATCTTTCTGGCCTGTTCCCATTTCATAATTAATTTGAAAACTCTGAATCTGACATGCCCCCAAGCGGGATTCGAACCCCATGTCTCAGTGTTCGAACGGATGAAGATATTTCTAGCCTTATACCGCACGGCCACTGTGACCAAGCTGCTGATGTACACAGCTTATGTTTAGGGTCTGTAAGAGTTATACTGCACAGGATATGGTGCAGTGGCCACGCTGGTGAATACGGCAGTGAACATTCTATATATCTATGGCTCTATAGCCCTTTGTTGGGCTTTGGCTGCTTTTTCGGTTTCTTAATCCTGTACACAGTCGGTAGAACTCCTTGGACGGGGGATCAGCCCATTGCAAGGCCTCTACCTATACACAGAACAACACAAAAACAGAATAAACGCACACAGACATCGAGTGGGACTCGAACCCTCGACGCCAGTGTTCGAGCGGGCGAAGACGGTTCATGTCTTAGACCACGCGGCCACTGTGAACGGCTCGTACACGTATGTTCTAGAAGAGTAAAAATGTCTTCGGCGTATTATTAAAAATAAACCGAGAAATATAACGATGATAATGATGATAATAACAATAGCGAAAAATAATAATGAGACTAATAGAATTAATTTTCTGAGATTATCGTTGCCCCACTCGCTACACGTAGCGCCTTCCGATTGGTCCTCAAGGTACCTGCATGGTGAGGGTGATGGACCTGTTCCTTTGTTTCTGTTTCTCGCAATGATTCGACGTGAATACTGTGACGATGTCATGACGACAAATGGTTAGAACCGAATAGTGACGAACTGTTTTGAATTCGTTTAGCTAAAGCTATTGAAAGTAAACATTCCATGAATACACCAAGTGAACTGCGAATGAAAGCGTGGAAGCCACAATTTGCGTAGCTTCGGTCTGTACAAGAAGAATAATCGCTAGTATGTAGTTCGCGTAAGTTAATGTGAAGTTCTTGCAGGTGACAATGTACACCGTGTAGTGTGGTAGATATTTGCCATCTGCCAGACTACAAGACAGTAGTCTATCTGTTCATCTTAATGAAGGCTATATTTATTTTTAACCCGCTTTCCTTAATTTTAACAAGAAGTTCTGGGAAGAACTACTCACCTAGTTTCCTTTGATACGACACGGACTGCACAGGAAACAGACACAGCAAGGCGATATCTTAAGTCTGTGTGTCTGTGTATCTTCTCTAATTCATGACAGCATAGCGTAGGCCAATATTAAAGCAAAGAAGGCGATAAATTCTTCCTAGGACTTCTTGTTAAAATGTATATCCATAGTCGCACGAAACTTCAGTGCCTTATATTACGCGCCAGTAATGTCATTTTGTTGTCATGTTGTTCGCAGGGTCGATATTTTGATGTTATTGACACTAACATAAAATTCATGTCACGTGTCACGAAAGTCAATTATTGAGCTTAAAAGTTAGTAGCAGGACTCCCAGTCCGAAAGTCAGACTGATAGTAACATTGTTGCCTTAATTTTTTGCAGTTGCAGTAACGTTTTGCGCGATTCCATGTATTGTCACTGAGTCTTCCGAGACGAGTCCGTCAAGGCGTTGCAGACAAGTTACAGTTTATCACAGAATATTTCTGTTATCAACGGGTATCATAATTCATTCCGCTGATATTCGTAAAATGAAGCACAAGCACCTGAAGAGGTTACAGTATATGAGTGCCGGTCACGGCAGCCGAGCGATCTAAGGCATGTACTGTCTTCGCTCGCTTGAAAACCGGGATCGTGGGTTCGAATCCCACTCAGGGCATGGATATTTAGTTTGTGTGTGTGCGTTTTCTGTGTTTGTGTACAGGTAGAGGCGTTGCGACGAGCTGATCACCCGCCCAAGGAGTCCTACCGAATGTGTAAGATCTAGAAAAACCGAGGTGAACGGAGAAGTTGCTGGAGGTAGGCCTAGGCCCGCTGGGGCTGTAGTGCCAAGAGAAAAAAGGTATGAGTAAAATTGGTTCTGTCCTTAATTAAGACGTATGGGGGAGTAAAGTTATAGCTTCATCCTTCTTAACTTCGGCATTAGATGTGAGTGTCAAGCTTCACGCCGTGGTCGCTTTACATTCAGACAAGTGCTCCCGCTACCTATCGACCGCGATGCCGGTCTGGAAGCTGCTGAGTGGGAAAACTCCGGTCATCCAGCCCGTAGCCCGTCGCTATACCAAGCTAGCCCGGCATAAAAGTAAAGCTCCTGTTCTTAAGCCATGAAGACATTAGGAGGAGTGAAGGTATAGCTCCACCATCCATGATTTAGACACTAGATGGAGGTGAGCGGTCAGCTTCACACCCAGGCCGTTTTATCCCCGAGAAAATCATCTCCAGTATCCATGGAATTAAGGCGCAGTCTCGGCCGAGCCATAGCTCAGGCGGTTAGTCTCCGGCTTCCCACCGCTGCGGTCCGGTTTCGAGCTCAGGTCAGGTCTTGTGGGATTCGTGGCTGACAAAGTGGCACTGGGGCAGATTTTCTCCGAATACTTCGGTAACCTTGCCAATACTCATACCACCGATTCCTCGACATTTATCATTATCCATCATCTGGGGCTCGTACAATAAGCCAGTTAGTGACCGACGTACCAAGTGGACTCAGTCTCACCCCACCTCAAGGAGCTAAAAGAACTAAACTAAGTAGCAGTCTCCATATGACAGTTCTTTTTGAGAAATTGGCAGTCGCTCAGCTGGTCAAGAAATCGAAATTCGGTGTCGTGTTCACAAGAACGTGTCCTGGTCCTTATCCTGAGCCACATGAATCCCACCCATAACCGCCTTCCCTACTTCTCTGAGATCCAGCCCGATATTATTCTCCCTGTCACGTGTTGATATTGCAACTGGTGTTTTCCTTCATGTTTTCCGGCCAAAATTCTGTATGATTTCTAATATATTCTATCCCTGCTACATGCCCGGCTCATCTAGTCTTACTTGATTTGGCCGTTGTAACAATGTTTGATGCAGAATACAAATTTTCAAGCTCTTCATTAGACTATTTTCTTCAGCCACTCCCATTTCTGTCTGTCTGTCTCTCTATTTTTTTATATTGCTAGTGGGGTGGGACTAAGTCCCTTGTACTGCGGCAACTTCTGGCCTATTGTACCGGCACCAGATGATAGGTGAGGGTGATTGGGGAGCAATTGGTGGATTGAAGTTTGGCAAGGGAAACCGAAGTACTCGGAGAAAACCTGCCCCAGCGCCACTTTGTCCACCACAAATCCCACTTGACCAGACCCGGGCCGCCGGGGTGGGAAGCCAGCAACTAACCGCTTGAGCTATGGCGCGGCCCCTTTCTGTCTCTTACTTATATCTAAATATTTTCCTCAGCACTCTCTTCATTCGCGACAGAATTATGTTTTTCTCTTAAGTGAGAAGCTACAGGTACAAGTAACCTCTTTAACATTTTAATCTTCGTCTTTATATAGCAGATTTTAGATTAAAAAATTACTAACATGAATGGCAGGAAGCATTCTCCGAATTTAATCAATTGTTACTGTTTTCGTGAATCTTGTTATAGCTTTCGAATGTCGTTCCCAAATATTTGAACTTTGCCACTGTTGTCAGATATTTGTTAGCTGTTTTAGTTATGATTTTGCTCTGTATTGTGGGGCTACTGTGATCACAGCACATACATTAAAAATAACAACGGGGAAATTAAGAACGAGCGTCGTGGGCGTCAAAATCAAGGGCAGTTGGGAGGGATGGAGTCAGCTGATCGGGCCTGTGTGTAACGAGCTGTAGTGCGCAGGTCGGCGAGGGAGGAGTGGGGGAGATTCGATATAACCTGCATGCACTAGACGGTAGGTGTAGGAGAGTGTTTGGAATCATTTTGTTGTTATTCATTTGAGCTGGTTGCAGGGACCCCAGGTCGCAGCATTATCATCAGGTTAGTGTTTTGCTGTTCAAGACCAAGTATCTGTTGATTTGGAACGCAGTATGAAATGTCTTTCTTAGGAAAGTGTTCTGTATCTTATCTGAGCACGCGGCCATTGTGTGTCTATTTCCTTTGCTTCACAACTCCTGGTTTTCAGTGACACCAATGTATAGTTAACAGGGATAATGAGAAAGAATTTTAACGAAGTAAAGCTGTGAGGATGTGAAATGAATACAACGTCCGATGGCTGACCCATATTGTGACTGATGAATTGTGTTCGTTAGCAACGAGAATATATTTGAATAGTCTGTAAAGATAGAGTGGTGCAACATAAACTGACAGCTGTGGTTGCTATGGGATCATGAACAGAAATGTGATAACGGGGTCAGGGTCATGACACCAGTGAGGTTAAACGCGCAATTCAACCCAGCGTTCGTAGCTTCCTCGTAACAAATTTGGGCTTATACGTCTATGTATGAAGTCCGTTAATAATGCAACAGTCATTAAAATATTCACAATTTAACACTAACAGAACATGTTTCGGCCACAGACGGCCATCCTCAGGTGTTTCAGTGCGTCCAAACTGTTACACTGCCCCGATGCGCGCTAAAATTGCACGTTGACGGACTTGGTACATAGACGTTTAATTAAAGATGTGGAACAGGATGCTGAAATACAGTATTGGGCTGATACTCCATACATTAAAAAGGTGAATTTGTCCTAGTGATTAACTAATTAAGCACATGCCATGAACGCACATGGGGGAGTGGATGTGTAGATCGGCATTCACTTGACCTCGGCACCAGTTGGTGGTGAGTTCCATACATGTTTAGAATAATAGCTGTTATGCTGAATTTGCTTCATTTAATTCACAGTTGCTTGTTTGAATATAGTTCTGATCCCAGCACACAAGCTCTCGCTTTGTTATGTTGGTATTAGATTTTGTAGGTTACAAAGATTGAATTACCAGAATTGTTTCGGTTGGCAAGTTGGACTAGTTCAGTTCGGTCAAGCAACAGGCCGTTAGTGAAACCGAAATCCACATCAGAGCCTTAGACATTTTTCTAGATTTCACGGAAAAGAGTTTGAGATGTGCTTGAACGCTGGTAACATCAGTTTTTAAGGTTGTTTTGGAGATGTGCTTTCTAAGAGTGCCCTAGTTAGAATTGCACAAGCTTCTTGTACAAGAAACAGCACATCGAATAAAAATGTTGTTGCCTAATTTGATTGAAATTATGACATACTGACAGCAGTACAGTGTAGGGTCCGGAACAAGCCCTAGTGGCAGTGTAGGAGAATGTGTTGAAGGGGGTTTCCTTCCTCGTGAATGTTCCCATTTCATTAACTACCGTGGAAGTTCAGGGCTTCCGTTCTTGACATTACGGTGACATTTTGTTTTAAAGTAGCTTTGAGACGTGGATGTTCGAATGCGAAGTTTCAGTTACGGTAGTTGAGAAGAATACGGCGCGGTAGCACAAGGGAAACAAATAAATTCTGATATGCTGATTATAAATATGAATGTGAAGTGTATTTAATCTCAAGTTAGACGTGCTCGTTTTTTTTTAGTTATGTATTTTTACCTATCCTTATAATTTTTTGCCAACCATAATGTGAGAAAAAGATTTTTGATAGTGAGTGAAAGTTATCATTTAAATGTCGTCATAATACCAAAGTCCGTAATAAGAGTTGTGTGTATTTTAGTAATATCTTGCGTGCAGCATGTAGGAGATAAAAACGGTGCCTTTGAAACTTTTTAACCAATGTTTGTGCTCAATGTATCCAGTTTAGTCGAAAACAGCTTCTTTTGCATATACAGATGTTTACGTTCTCACAACGGTGATTGTGAAGAGTGGTATCTTCTGGGATATAAGTCCGTGTAGCCCACTGAGAGCCGAACACGAAACCAGCTGCATGCTGTCTGCATCGTATTTGTATTTTCCTTAGCTTACTCCTCAACCCTGAGGACGGAGGCGACATGTTCATCAGAAATGTCGGGTTACTTTCAGCGGACTACATGACATTATATCCCAGAAGGTAGGGCTCTTTTATTTCGTACATGTTATGAAAAAAACTGAATTTGTTCAGCTGTATTGCAGGACGTGTAAATATGAAGTCTGAAGAACAGTGTTATTGCCGTTTTAATTTAAGTGTTCAATGTGTTGGAATTTGGGATAGCTTAGTCTAGCGACCGGCTACAATTCCCGGAAGGCAAGATTTTTTCTTCTCCAGAGCGTCCAGACCGGTTCTGGGGCCCATCCATCCTTATGTATAGTGGATAACGGCAGTTCTTTCCACAGTGGTAAGGCGACCTGGGCGTGAAGCTGACCACAACTAAATCTCGTTCCGAGGTCAAGAATTGTGGAGCTATAACACCACTCCCCCATGTGTCTTCATGGCATTAAGCACAAGGACAGCTTAACCTTGATATTCCATTTTCGGAATCTCACGGACTCTTTTTGTTGCTAGTAGTTATGTATACGTAGCTCACCACCCGCACTGGAGGCGATGTGTGTGTGAATAAAGTAGCAATTTTGCTGTATTGGAAATTCCTATTAAAGAATATATTTAAATGTCACAGTACAGCAAGGAGAACAGAAAATGCCCCATATCATTACTAATTTCGTGGAGCTGAGATCTTAAAAGTCGTCAGTTGTGCTACTCTGGAACTTCCCAGCATTTTATGGGACCCGAAAGTTCATTACCGTGTTCACAAGAGCCCTCCACTGGTCCCTCTCCTGAGCCAGCTCAATCCAGTCCATACCTCCTCATCCTGTCTCTAAGATACATTTTAGTATTATCCACCCACCTACGTCTTGGTTTTCGTAGTGGCCTCAGTGGAAGGAAGTATCCTGCTGTAGTTTGTAATTTTCGTGAAATTACATTTTTTACAAAAGTAAAGACTCATTTACATAGAGACACTGATGGGAAATCGGGCGGTTTTCATAAAACTGATAATTTACTGTATAACGGTTTTCCAGACGTCTTCATCCAGGAGCGTGAATCTTACCATTCAACCTTTATGTACTGCCGAGATAAAAGAGTGCGTGGAACTGCACTTTTACTCTGAGCTTACATGACATGGCGCTTAATTAACCCATTCAGTGCTACAGATGTACATATACGTCGTTTGACGTGTTGCATCAGGTTAGGTAGGTTAGTTTAAGCTGAAGTTCTGTTATATTAGGCTGTTGCACCTTAGAGTAGGTAGTGTTGTGTTAAGTTAGAGTAAGGTTGGTTATGCTGTATTGTTTTAATGTAGGGTAGGTTATGTTATGTTATGTTATGTTATGTTATAGCATGCTATATTGTGTCAAGTTAGAATAGTTTATATTGTGTTAAGTTAGGGCAGGTTATGTTGTGTTAATGTTAAGTTACGGTAGGGTTGGTTGTGCTGTGTTTTAAGGTTAGGGTAGGTCATGTTGTGTTTATGTTAAGTTACGGTAGGGCTGGTTGTGCTGTGTTGCTTTAAGGTAGGTTATGTTGTGTCAAGTTTGTTTATATTGTTAAGTTATGTTGTCTTTATGTTAAGTTACGTTAGGGTTGGTTGTGCTTTGTTGTTTTAAGGTTATGGTAGGTTATATTGTGTGAAATTAGAGTAGTTAATATTGTGTTAAGTTAAAGGTTATGTTATGTTATGCTATGCTAAGTTTGGGGTTGGTCGTGTTATGTGAAGTTTGGGTAGGTTATGTCGTGCTACATCAAGTTAGGGTAGGTTGTATTGTGTTAAGTTTCAGTAGGTTTTGTTGTACTACATTATGCTATGTTAGGGTAGGTTATGTTGTATATTGTGTTAAGTCTGAGTAGTTTATTTTGTGCTGTATTATGTTAGGGTAGGTTAGGCCGCGCCGTAGCTCAAGCGGTTATTCGCTGGCTTCCCACCGCGGCGGCCCGGGTTCGATCCCGGGGTCTGGTCAAGTGGGATTTATATTGGACAAAGTGGCGCTGGGGCAGGTTTTCTCCGAGTACCTCGGTTCCCCTGCCAATCTTCATTCCACCAATTGCTCCACAATCACCCTCACCTATCATCTGGGGCTGGTACAATAGGCCAGAAGTGGCCGCAGTACAAGGGACTCCACTAGCAATAAAAGAAAAGGGTAGGTTATGTTGTGCTGCATTATGTTAGGCAAGGGTAGTTATGTTCTGTATGATGTTAAGTTAGGGTAGATTAGGTTACAGGTGTGCATGTACATCCTGTTGACACTTTCATGTAAAATGTGTGGAGAAATTAACTCGACATGCTAAGAGTTAATCGTTTCATTATTAGTTTGGATTTCAATATTTCAGACTTGCTTGTGCTACTCATAAAGCAGCCTGTGGCCAAGCTTGAGAACAGAGGTGGGTGACATAGTTTTTAGCTAGTTAACTGTATGTGACGCAGGTGATGGAGAAGCTCTCTGTATTTTGTCCTAGCTTCTGGATCTTACCTTGTGCTAGTTGTATCCACTTCACTTTCACGCATTATAACGACCCTTTTAATATTATCCTGCAGTCTAAGGTTCCAAATGGCCTTTTCCCTTCAGTCTGTCCACCGGTTTTATATGCACTTCTAACCTGCCTCGTATTTCGTCCCATGATGACAAATTACGAACAGAGGTTCCTAGGTCTCATCACTAAATCTTTTAGATATGCCATAGAGCTCTATCGTAGAACGGTAAGATATTGTTTGAATAATTGATGGGAAAGGATTTGGAAGGAAGCAGTCGTGGCCTAATTGGGGTTCTGTACCGATGTTGGTCTGGAGGGGTCTGGGGAAAATGTAGAAATTTTAGTAATTAATAACAAACCTTAATGATATCTACTAATTATGGGGCGAGGTTTACAGTTTTCCGGGTCCCTATTAGTAACAACAAATTTAGGTCATGACATTTTTTTTTATTATAGTAGCTAAAGATACACACCGACTTTTCGTGATGTTTGAAAAGCGAATGTCTCCTTAAGATGTGTGGATTCTATTTTCTATAGCCCCAGTCACTCACCTTTAAATCCAGGCCTGACTGAGCACATTTTATCTT